ATACATTTTACTCCCTGCATGCCTTGTTCCAAAGCAAAACTATGACTTTCTTTCCAACTCACCTCTAGAACTACTAAAATGCAACAGAAGCAACTGGGTGCAGCCTCAAGTAGGGTCATGTAGGCCAAAGTGGGCCCCTACTCACTGAATGCTGCCCACCCTCATCTTGGATCTGTTTTGCATATACTGCTGTTAAAATGTATTTGTGTATTTGTGTACAAGTGAACTTTATACTTGTACCTGTTGACATTCATCTTGCCCCACTCCTCTATCCTGTCATAATTGGCTTCATCTTCAATTCTGCTTCTAGCATTTAAAGTATTAACCACACAAACCAGTTTGGTGTCATCTGCAAATCTTATGATTATCCAATATAAAAACTATCTAAGGGTGAGATTACATTGCCAAAAAAATGCAGGAAATGCTCAGAGATTTGGACAGTCAAATTTACATTATTTTCTGTTGACTACCTGACATAAAAGTCAATGCAAATAAGTCCAGAGTTCTTATCTTGAATCTCTAGTGGGTTTTTTCTCTGCCAGTACAACTTCTAATTTTTTGGGAAATAAATGTATTTTCATAGGTTCAGGTGGTGTGATTGCTTAAGCCAATGTGGAGGGATTTGTATGCATTGTCTATGAAGTGACTCCAAATAGCTACAGAGAGCAGAGCTACCAGAAAACTTCCTTCTCTCTCTCTCTGCCAATTCCTCGCAATTTCTTTCCTCTTTAGTCACCTAGCTATCCTAGCACTAGGTCGGTCGGTCGGTCGGTCGGGAGCAAGCTGCAAACAAGGCTGATTTCCTCTCCTCTGATTCCTAGTAGTTGGCTGAACTGAATTGACACAGAGCAGCCTGTCTTTCTGCATGAACTTTACAGTGGATCCATTTACATTTTCCCCGTTGTGTAGTCATACCCACACAGGTGGACATAATGGACACAGCGGATGGTTGGTCCACCCACCTGTCTGCTGCTGCTGCCGGCTCCACACTCCCTTCCAATAGCTCTGGCGCTCGCGGTCAACTAGCCACTCATCAGCCTGGCAGGGAGGCTCATCTTCCCCCATCTCTAGCCATACCCTAATTTGGCTACAATTACTTCCTGTAACTAATCCTCCATTTAAAATCAACACTGATACTGATATCATAAAGATTGCCTTGTGGCTCTCTATTATTCACCAACCAAACAGCTTGTGTACCAAGACAGAATGAATACAACTTATATTACATAGGATGGAGAACCAAACATTTTCAACTTTTCAGCTCTCAAAGAGTTTATAGGGTACTCTGGGCAAAATCTAACACACTGTATCATTTCAAAAGGACAACGTCTTTGCAACATCCCTCTCTACATCCTTAAACTACATGCAGACAACAAGAATGTAAGATTCAGCCTTCCCACATTCTCCTTCTGCCCCTACTTAACTTTTAAAATCTTGCTTGATGAAGAGACAGTATTCTTACAGACTTGCATATTTTTCTATGCCTTTTTGGTTGGCCTAATAAAGGCATCATCCCAGTAGAGATTTTGTCATTTATAAAGATATTAAATACAGGGCAAAGGAAACCTAGCACTGTCTTTCTTCCCTCGGGGTTACTGAGGAGCCACCGATGAGCACACTTTCCATATAATCCATCAACCACATCTAAATTCATCTAACACAGCATTTTCTAGCCCACACAGCTCACCAATCAAGAAATTTTATGAGGGACTTTTCAGAAAGTCTTGCTGAAACCAAGGTATACTAGCCAAAACTTAGTGGGGATCTATACCGTGTAACTGCAATTACTGTATAGAAATTGCAGACCTGAATGGCTACCAATTAACAGATTGATGCTGCTTCATTCCTCACTCCATGCCAATTGCACAACTTGAGTTACAACAAGCAATACAAGTAGCAACTTGTTGGAGGCAATTTGCCACTGTGATTTACAAAGTGACAAATACTTTCTTTTGCACCACTATGGCCACCATGTCTACATCATTCTCCTGATCTAACTAAACTAATAACTGTTTTTATGATACAGTAGATCACATTAGTTTGGCATGATTTATTCCTCAGGAATCCTACTATCATTGTACACTAGCATAATGGGAACATAACTTACAGTGAATTCCTTTAAATTAAGTTGCCAGCACAGACATTATTTCTTGTGCACTGAAACAGTGGTTCAGCATACAACAGAAAATGCACACATTAAGTTCTTAACTTACAGCAATCTGCCACCTAAAGTTATGCTGTTTTCATTATGCTCCCAGGAATAAAAAACAGGATACTGACCACCACTGTGTTCTTCTCTAACTGCTCTCAAACTGATGCTTAAGACCTGTTTTAGAACCTCTCCAGGTATAATCTTTAAGGACCATTAAGCTGCCTGAATATATCACAGATATTTTCCAGACGCTAATATATTAAAAGCCTCATCAAACTTTTAGATACAACTTCAATATCACCAGCTATTTTAGACTGCTTCTAAAATCTTGTGGCTTTTACATTTTGATTAATGTAACATTTAAAATGCATTTTCTCTTATGAACTACTCTGGAAACATGACTGTAAGACATGACAAAAATTATCTCAAATTTATTGAAAATGTTGCTATTCATCCCATCCCTGAATTCCCTTGACAGCACTACAACACAATCCAAAATATATTTGATACTTTGAAGCATAGACTTTACCTCTGTTTATGACTCCTTTTCATCAATGTCCATGTATAGATATTTAACAAGATAATTCTATGCCTATTTGCTCAGAAATAAATCTTACTGTGCCCACTGTGATGCTTACCCCCGGGTAAGTGTGCATGAAACCGCAGCCTTGTATTTTTGCCGTTTTTGAGGCATAGTGATTCCAAAAAGTGCCAGCTGAAGTGAACGTAATGAATACTGGTTTATTCAATCAACAGAATGTCCACAAGTCTTTTTAACAAGGGACTGAATTCAAAGTTAAACTTATGTAGGAGTGCTGTCTTCTGCACCTTCCTGGAAATGCTCCAACAAGGATCAGGAGAACCTGCCAAATGGGAACAGGAAAGGCTAGGATTCAGCCTGCAACCCACGATGAATAGATTTTCAGGTATCTCAACCTTGTATCTCAGCCCCCTTCTGTTTTTCTCCTTAGAAAATGATTAAAACTGTTAAACACAAAGGAAGTCACAAAAAAGTTGAATTTTTAAAATAAATTTATACATAGACTATTATCCAAGTGTTTAGGAAGTAAAACTCCAAACAAAGAACAATATTTGCAATTCAAACAGCTGAATGAAATCAGCTGTATTTCCCAAGTAATACTAGAAGCTTAAAATTAGACCTATCCCTGCTGGAGACGTACAACCTCCAGAGATCACATGATTTTATAAATTATGGAGCTACCATTTTTAATATGCTTTTGGCAAGAAATCAGTCATGGAATAAATTATGTGACTTGCTTGCCAGCAAGACTTCACACCAACAGCTGATTTAGGCAAAATTCCAGCAATCTGGTCAATTCCCAAGCACCAGAAGTGGCTTCTTCTCCAAATACTGTTGATACTTAAGAACCTAACACTGATAGCCTGGAAGTTTAAAATTCTCCCATATACAAATTGTAGTAAGGAATATTTTAGGGGAATATATTAAGGACTGGTGTACCTAGCAATAAAGACAAATATATCTAGTTGCAGTATCTTGAAGCATGTGAAAATACTGTCTTAAGCCTTGTACAGAAGCTGTTTGGATGGGCCATTTTAGGGCCTCAGAGTCACATTCTGTTGCAGAACCCACACAGAACTATAGATGAAATCGCTTAGCGATGGGTTTTGGCCATTGTCAGAGCGATCGCTTAGTGATGGCCCCTATGGGGGAAAATCGCTTTGCAATGATCGCGGGGAAGCAATCATCGCAAAGCCTCCATTTTCGCACAGCTGATCCGTGGTTTCAAAATGGCCGCTGGAAAAACAAAATGGCCGCCCGCTGTTTTGCCTCGCTTTAGAGGCACCGAAAATGGCCGCCCCTATGGAGGATCTTCGCATAAGGTTAGTTTTTAAGCCCATAGGAATGTATTAAACGTGTTTTAATGCGTTTCTATGGGCATTTTTAAATCGCTTAGCGATTAAATCGCTTAGCAACGTTTTTCCTGGAATGGATTAACGTCGCTAAGCGAGGCACCACTGTATAGGCATGCTGCAGTATTATTGCCTGAACAGTTCTAAACAATGTCCCCAAGTTCAAGCCATTTGCCATGTTCATTTCTTTTGATATGCAAACATTTCTGAAAGAAAGATCATCACTTTTTGCCCATTTCTGCCACAACCAATGTAATGTATAGGGGAAAATGCCCCATGTAATTTCCAGACAAACCATGACATCAATAAGCAGAAATAACATACTGTACTCAGATTGTGGTGAGGTTTGCTCCACTTGGGAGCCAAAGACACTCAATGTACTCAGGAAATAACAAGACATACACATTAAATCCAGCTCCTAACTTTGCTACTAACCATTACTAGATTGGAATTCTAATGGGGTCATAAAGTACCTCAGACTTACCCTACGCAAGTTTTTGTTTTAATCCTGGTATGCATGATGGTTAAGGTCCACCTTCCCCTCCCCTTCATTCCATTACAGATGCTGAGAAAGGGGGATTTAAAAGAAAGGACAACTACGGTGCAGCCTATATCCTAAAGCAGTGGTCCCCAACTTTGGGTCTCCAGATGTTCTTGGACTACAACTCCCAGAAGCCTTCACCACCACCTCTGCTGGCCAGGATTTCTGAGAGTCCATCAGGATTTCTGGAAGTCCAAGAACATCTGGAGGCCCAAGGTTGGGGACTACTGTCCTAAAGGATTCTTTATACTATTTTTAAAGACATGAAATATCGTACCTGTTCACTTAGAAATATATCTATCCATTAGGAAGGCAAAGATTCTGCTAAGACTGAACCCTACAATCTCCTCCTCTCTAATAAGATCTTGGCCCAAATATGAACTACAATAATATCACAAAGAAGAAGAAACATACTGTGGTTTCAGTTCCTGCTCTACTATGAGAAACTGGCACCATCTCCAGTTTGGCATTGTTGGGTAGATTGGCAAATCTCCATTGTAGAGAAAGATCCAGCACCGTCCTCTGAAATCTGCAACACAAACAAATCCAGTAACAATCTTTTTCACCTTATGATACATCAGATAATTTATCAATGATTTACTTCAAGCAGGGGAAGAGATTCTGTCAGTAATGACGAGAGATGGGAGTATTTGTATATGAATATCCCCCACGCAGCTGGAGTTAATGAGGGTCCGCCCCCTGGGGCCGGACCATCCACTCATGCATCTGCCAGTGGCAGCGGACTCACTCATCCTTCCACTCACTCCTGGAGCCCTGCTCTTTTCCTGCTCAGCTAGCAACTTGGCAGCCATGCAGGGAGACTCGTCCTCTCTCCCTTTGCCTGGAGTGGCTAGCTGAGCAGGAAGAGAACAGGGCTCTGGGAGTGATTGGAAGGATGAGTGGGGCCGCCACCAACATCAGACGCATGAATAAACGGTCTGGCCCCCTTGTAGGCCTCTTCCAACTTCACATAGAAAAGTGAAGTTGGAAGGGGCCTAGAAGACCACCAAGTCCAACCCCCTGCTCAATACAGGAATACAATCAAAGCATATCTACCAGGTGGTTACAATGCCTCCAGTGTTGGAGCATTCACCAACTCCCGAGGTAACTGGTTGTCGTACTGCTCTAACAGTTAGGAAGTTTTTCCTGATATTCAACCGAAATCTGGCTTCTCTTAACTTGAGCCCATTGTTGTGAGTCATGCACTCTGGGATGATTGAGAACAGATCCTGCCCCTCCTCTGTATGACAGCCTTTCAAATATTTGAAAAGTACTATCATGTCATATTTGACCAAACTCCAGGAGGCAGTAGAAGACAGGAGGGCCTGGTGTGCTCTGGTCCATGGGGCCATGAAGAGTCAGACACGACTTAACTAAACAACAACAATCATCTCACCCCCTCAGTCTTCTTTTCTCAAGGCTAAACATGCACAATTAATTCAGCCTTTCCTCATAAGACTTGGTTTCCAGCCCTGTGATCATTCTTTTCGCCCTCCTCTGAACTTGTTTCAGTTTGTTAGCATCCTTCTTGAAGTGTGGGATCCAGATCTGAACACAATACTCAAGGTGAGGCCTAACCAGTGCTGAATAGAGGGGGACTAGCACCTCACAGGATTTGGAGACTATACTTCTGTTAATGCAGCCTAAAATAGCATTTGCCTTTTTTGTAGCCACATCACACTGTTGGGTCATATTTAGCTTGTGATTTACAACAATTCCAAGATCCTTCTCACTCATTGTTTTGCTGAGCCAGGTATCCCTCATCTTGTAACTGTATACTTGGTTTCTTTTTTCCAAGGTCCAGTACTCTACACTTATGCCTGTTGAATTTCATTCTGTTCTTTTAGGCCCAGTGCTCCATCCTATCAAGGTCATTTTGAATTTTGTTTCTGTCTTCTACGGCAGTGGTCCCCAACCTTGGGCCTCCAAGATGTTCTTGGACTACAACTCCCAGAAGCCTTCACCACCACCTTTGCTGGCCAGGATTTCTGGCAGTTGAAGTCCAAGAACATCTGGAGGCCCAAGGTTGGAGACCACTGTTCTACGGTATTAGCTATTCCGACCAATTTTGTATCAACTGCAAATGTGACAAGCATTCCCTGCACTCCCTCATCCAAGTCATTAATACAAATACAGTATTGAAGAGTATTGGGCCCAGGACTGAGCCTTGCGGTACCGCACTTGTTACCTCCTTCCAGTTAGAGAAGGACCCATTAATCATCGCCCTCTGAGTACAATTCTATAGCCAATTGTGTATCCACCTCACACTTGATCTATCCAGCCCACACCTAGTTAGCTTGCTAATCAGGGTATCATGGGACACTTTGTCAAAAGCTTTGCTGAAGTCAACATATACTACGTCTACAGCATTCCCTCTGTCTATCCAAGGAGGTGACCTCATCAAAAAATAAGATCAAATTAGTTTGGTAGGATTTGCTCTTGACAAATCCATGTTGGCTTCTAGTTATTGCTGTATTGTTTTCTAGGTGTTTGCACAACGACCACTTTATGATCTCTTCCAGAATTTTTCCTGGGATTAATGTCAGGCTGACTGGTCTGTAGTTCCCAGGTTCCTCTTTTTTGCCCTTTTTGAAGACAGGGACAACATTGGCCCTCCTCCAGTCCTCTGGCACCTTACCCATTTCCCTTAATTTCAAGAAAATAATGGATAGTGGTTCTGAGAGTTCTTCAGCCAGTTCCTTCAGTACTTTTGGATGCAGTTCATCCAGCCCTAGCGATTTCAACTTGTTCAAGGTAGTAAGGTATTCCTTGACTATTTATTAATCTCCAGCTGCAATCTTGTACCCCGACTTGCACTTCCAATTTGTTTGGAAGTTCATAGCCTGTCTTATGGTTAAAGATTGAACTAAAATAGGAATTAAGCACCTCTGCCTTTTCTTTGTCCTGTTATTTTTCCATCTCCATTGTGGAGCTGTGCCACTATGTATTTTGTTTGTCTTCTGCTACTCACAGACACCTTATTGCTTTTAGTGTCTCTAGCTAAACCTCAGCTCATCCTCAGCTTTCGCCCTCCTAATGCCATCCCTGCATTTCCTTGCTACTTCTCTGTACTGTACTCATCCTTGGTGAGTTTCCACTTCCTGTACATGTCTTTTTTGTTTTGTTTTTAGGTCCTCCCTAATCTTTTTGTGAAGCCACATTAGCCTTTTTTGCCACCTCCCACCTTTTTTTCTTATTGGAATTGTTTGTAGTTACGCCTTTAGAATTTCTTCTTTTAGAAGCTCCCACCGTTCTTGGACTCCTTTTCTTGTTAGGATCTCCTGCCATGGGACCTTACTATCTCTGTTCTGAAATTAGTAAAATTGGCTTTTTTAAAATCCAGCAGACCTGTGTGGCTAGAATCAAAAATTCTAGAAGGACATGGTAACTCCTACCCAGAGTTCCCCTTACTGCCACTTCCCCCACCAAATCATCTCTGTTGGTCAGAATCAAGTCAAGGATAGCAAATCCTCTAGTTTCTTTCTCCACTTTTTGTAGGAGAAAATTGTCAGCCACACAAGCCAGGAATTTCTTGGAAGGGCCATACCTGGCAGAATTTGCTTCCCAACATATATCTGACTAACTGAGATCTCCCATCACTGCTACATCGTGTCTCTTTGAAAACCCTGCAATTTATTTTTCAAAAGTTTCATCCGCTTCCTCTCTTTGATTTGGCGGTCAGTAGTAGACTCCAACTACCAAGTTCCTTTTGTTTTTGCCCCAACTAGATTGATCCAGATGCTCTCGATGGGATAACCAATCACCTCCTCCTGCATTTCTGTGCAGGAATGTGTATTTTTGACATATACTGCAACACCACCTCCCTTTTTATTCTCTCTGTTCTTTTTTATCGGTTTATATTCCTCAATTGCTATATTCCAGTCATGGAAGTCATCCCACCAAGTTTCAGTTATTCCTATCTAGTCATACTTACCCTCCTGAATTAAAATTTCCAGTTCTTCTTGTTTGTTTACCATATTCCTGGCATTCGTATACAGAAACCAGAGGCTGTGTGATTTGTGGCTTGTTTGTCTTTGTACATTTTAATGAATATTATTATTATGATGATGATTATTATGTTTATAATTGTGATTGTTATTTTTAATGTTATTATTGTTGCCCTTTTGATCAGTTTGGTCCATTCCTCTTATTGTGTGTCTTCATCTACCCTTAACTCTGTGCTTACACCTCCCTATCCCTTCCAATTCAGTTTAACTCCATTAACTCCAGCTCTGTGGTGATATTCGTATTTACATAGGAATACCAACACCCCCATCTCTAGTAATGACTATAATTTCCCAAGCTGTTATTTTGGGAAGCAAACTACTGAAAATGATGTTTGTATTTATAGAGGCTACAGGTTAAATCAATGTATCTCCACTAACTCTGGAAACAGAGGTGAAACTTTGGACCTCTGTTTCTTCCAAAAAAAAAAAACAATCCAGAATGAGAATGACCAAAGAAGGACATAAGAAGAGCCCTGCTGGATCTAGTCCAGCTTCCTGTATCTCACATTGGCCCCACCAGATGCCTCTGGGAGCACACAAGACTACTAGAGACCTGTATCCTGATACCCCTCCCCTCCATAGCTCCAGAGTCTCATTGTGGACTCCATAATGATAAAGAAACATCAAACAAATGAACAAAGCAACAAGACTCACTTCAGATCATATTCGTTGGGATTGAAATTCTGCTTTCTACAAACTTCTTCAAGGACCTGATTAAAAAAATCAAATCAAACAGGTATACAGTTATTTCTCTTTCTGAGGTGTATTATACAAAAGATACTTCAAACACATTAGTTAGTTCCACACATTAGTCACTACAACATACTCATGTTTGCCTGAGACCCAAATGAAGGAAATGGCATGTTCCTGCAGAGATCTGATCTGGCCACAGTGACACAAGCCTTACACCCAGCTGGATTACTGTAAAGTACTTTATGCAGAAGTAATCCGGCTGGTGCTTTCCTGCCTTTCCCCACAGCTGACTGCTCAGCAAGTGAATGGGGAGACTTGTCTACCCACCGCCTTGCTGGAGTGGTGTGTGAATTGGTGTGACAACGATGCTACACTTGCCACATGGAGCCCAGTGAGTGGACTGGGCTGGTTCTGGGCAGCGGGAATGGATTGCCATGGCACCTGTTGTGCCATGTTCCATATTCTTATCCCCTGGATAGGAATACAAAGCACCCACATCTAGTTTTAACCTATAGATCCCTAAATGGCCTGGGTCCAAGCTATCTCAAAACCAGTATCTCCCTTTATGAACTTGTCCAGGTGTCAAGATCATCAGCGGTCTTTCTCTCAGTCCCACCACCCTCACAGGTGCACTTGATGGGGATGTGGGAGAGAGCCTTCTCTGTCACTGCTCCCTACTCTAGAACTCCCTCCCACAGGAGGCAAGGCTGGCCAGATGTTTGCTGTCCTTCTGTATTCAGGCAATGACCTTTTTCTTCTGGCAGACTTTCCCTTAGTGACTGACTATCTAGGAAATAATAAGTGGAATGATTTATATTTTGTTTCTTCTAAAGCTGCTTTTTGTAATGCTTTTACCTAACATTTTTATATACTGTTATTAAATCTTCTTTATTATTTGAATAATTTATCATTTGTAGTGTTTAATATGGTGTTTTTAATTGTATAAGCCACTTTGGGTCCTTTTTTAGGAAAAAGGCAGGATAAAAATATTTCAGACAAACAAACAAATTTTTACACAATAAACGTATGATAGAAAGTGGAAGGATTCCCCTAAGATTATGGTAGCTACAGAAAAAAAACATTATGGAGATTTGAAAGGCCTAATGGACTACACTCAATTATTGCTAAGCATTCCATTATTGATTTGTTTGGGGGAAAATATTTACATGAATATGCACAAATAAGCATTTTATTAGGCATAGCAACCAATCAGGAAAGAAAGCATCTATCATAAGTTTAACTCATAGTTGCAGATCAGATAAAACAGACTCAGCAAAGAAGTGAAATAGACCATATATATATGAAATACATGAAACAGAATGTTAATATTTGAATAAAAAGCATTTTAAATTCTGCCATTCACATCTACACATCAAGAGACTTTTTTCCTCCTAGAACTAGTGATTGTAAACTATCAGGATATCAAGTCATCTCTGAATGACTTGCAATAGATCTACTGTACAAGGGTTTTTATTTGCCAACAGGCTAATACCAGCAGCATCAAAAAAAGGTCACACTCCCCATTTTTTATACTAAACTGCTGAAGAGGAAAGCTCACTTTGGATATTGAAGGCAACCTTCTTGACCCCAGCCATGTCTTGATCCGCAACCAATTCCTCAGTTTTAATCAAGACCATATCTGCTCTCCTCTCAGCCACCATTCACCTTTTCCTAAGGCTGGTGGACCTTGATGGCTGACGTAAAAAAGGCAATTACAGTATAGATCCTGGAAGCCTGAATGTGCCCTGTCGGGCTTTTCTCAGTGTAATCTCTATTCAAAGGGCAATCCTGAACAGAGGAAGGAGGAAGCCCTACTGAATACAGAAGAATTTACTGCTAAGTGCACATGCGTGGAGCTATATGGGCTAGATAGAAGACCTCCACGGTCCCTTCCATCCCTACGACGATTCAATGCTGTGAGAAGCCATTTCTCTTCCTCATGGGGGTCAACGAGGATACTGTATATTTACACACACCCATAAGGAGGCTGTATTCTCCCATTATAGCAGTACATTTTCTGTCTGACATTTTAAAAAGTCCCCATACTGTTATCAGTTAAGTGCATGTACCTGTCAGCCCCCACTGTCAGTATCTACTCTTTCCCATCGCACGACACTCCCCAAAAACACCACATTATTTTTGCCTCCTCCCCCACCCCCACCCGGGCCCCCGAAAAGATTCGCGGGCAGCCGAGTGTCCTCTGATCCAATGAAAACGAGCCTACCCACCCCTCTTTCCTGACCCAGGGGCCAATCAGAAGAGAATTAGCCGTTCCCCGGCCCAGACCCACCTGGAGTAGCGCGGTGCTTGGGCCTACTCGCACCGTCACTCGCCTCCCGTTCGGGGCCAAGACCGAAACCGCAGAAGCGCCCCCACCTCCGGCTCCCGACATCTTCCCCCTTCTCTCCTCTTCCGCCTGCCTCCCCAAAACAAGGCGGCCCCCTGACGCCGCCCTCCTCGCCCTTTACTCCTGTCACCCGCGGCTTCTTCGGGAGGCGAGGCGAATGGCCGCAGCGAGGGGGCGCGGCCACAACTCAAGGCCGCCCCGTCTCACGCTTTCGGTGTTCGCTCTTCGCCTCTTCCGCCCGGCGCCAACACAATTCTCCCGGGCAGAGAATGCCTCACTTCGCTGAGGAAAGTCTTATCAGAAGGGAGCTCCTTGCTTACGGGTTGAATCTGTTGGTCTTCCCGCTCTTAGGTCTCCCTCCATAATTCTTCATTTTCGGTGTCCTGTGCCCCAAACGGGCTGCCCCCTCAAACTTTTCCCTCACAGCTTTTCGTCGCCTTCACGTGGCGGGTGCACTCCCGCAGCAAACACCACGGGGGGAGGGGGGTTAAATCCTGCGCATCTTCTCCCAAGACCATGGGTTCAACATCTGCAAAACAAAACAAAAAAATGAAAACAAAAATGCTCAGACACCTTAAAAACTGCTATATTTTAATGTGCGCTTTTGTGGCCCAAGTCCATTTCCCTCAGACCTGAGGAATTAAAATACAGTACAGCTGCGAGTCTTTAAGGTGCTACAACGTTTTTGTCTTTTTACATTTTTTAATTTGTTTTTCCTTGATATCCTAGAACCGACTACCACAGCTACCCCTTCTAATACTACAACTGTGTTTGCACAACAGGCAATGAATCTACAGTATAATCAATCTATGACTTTTAAGAAGCTCTTGGATTGTTAGTAGAGGGTGTAGGGACAGAGGCTGAATAAGAGCCAGGGTCCCTGGATTGAAGTCCCACCACTAAAAAGGATGTGGACAAGTTGCTCCCCATCTCTAGTTAGGTTCCCCATCTGTTGAATCCTGAATAGTAGCATCTTTAGTACAAGGCAGGCAAAATATGCTTATACCCATCCAGCAAACAGCAACAATTCTTCCCTTGCAATTCCTCAAAAGAAGTCTCTTTCCTTCCAGCTACCTTTCCTCTCTATTACCTTTTTTCTATGGGGATGTCATTTTAAGGGACAATCCAAGGTACATAATGAATTACCTCATACGGACCAACAAAAATGTCATTAAATAAGTAATAGCTCTGAATTTCTCCAAGGAGCATTTGACTAACCAGTGTATCATAATATGACACAAATACATGCATGTCTACTTTATTACACATGAAGCAGAATGTCCCAGTTAGTATGAAGTACCTGTACTTGCAGCAAGTAAATACACTTAAACAGGCATGTTCATTACATGTTTGTCAAATTTATGACATGTGATGGTGTGAGATACTTGTAGTCAGAAATAGCTGATTAGGAAACTTGTCATTTGTGAAGGTGTGGATGTGACTAGACAGCAGAATTATCCTAGCCTGGATTGGTCTAGAGATCATGTTAAACAGGGTCATTTGAAGTGAGGTATGTCACTTGGACTGATCCTTGCACCCACATGCAAGGATCAACCACATCACCCCACATCTCAAGTGATTCCATTTGACATAACCAGGACTTCTTTTCCTGTAAAAAACAAAAAAAGCTCCCCATATCTCAATACTGTATCGTAAGGTGGCTTAGGCAAAGCACAGAGGAGAAAGCCACTTAATCTTGAAAAATGGAAATCTTCCCTACCACTTACTTTTTTAATTTCTTTGTAATTGTGGCAAACCAACACAGCACATCAGAGATATGCCCAAATGACATACCACACCCAATGAGTTACCAACAAATAAAAACAAATGCAAAACATCCTCTCCCTCCAAAGATAAAGCAGCAAGGAAGTTTCCCATTTATGATTATTGTTAAGTGGTTTCAGCAAAGGAACAGCCAACCAGCTGCTTCAGATCAAACCCAGTGATTACACATGCTGGAACAGAAGCAAAACAGAGTAGTCCTACTTGCTCCTAAAAATACTAGTCCCTGACAGACAGCAATCAAGATGCAGGTAGGAACACTCTGGGGGTGGGCTAATTCAGGCTGGCATTACATTGTGTGGTTGCTGAGAAAAGGAGCAAACCAGACAGTCCCCAGAGTGGAACAAAATACGGAACAAATTCCTATGTACTTGTACCCTATTACTTCCATATTAGAATAGTGTTCCTACAACCACAAAAGCAAATGACCCCAAAACAGCAGTTGTTAACTGCTTTGATTTATAGGAAAATATGCAAAAAGCATAGCTGTTTCATGCTGCCAGATATAATTATTAATACAAACAACTATTTCTTCACTGCCAGTGTTATTCCACTAGTAGCACTGACTCATGTAATGATTAGGATACCAGCTACAGCAATGGAAAATAACTTCTTGGTACATATGACCAAAAAGGATAAAGTACAGTACCAGCACTATCTTGGTAGCTTTCTTTGCCCATCCTTCTCCCTTGGCTTTCTCTTAAGACAAATTATTCCATAAAACTCATTCAGTCTGTTTCTTCTGTGTCTCTGTGTTTCACTCCTTGCCTCTCATCCATTTTTGCAGTAATCCAATTCACACAGAGGGGAGGTAATTCTTCCCCAATGGTTTGTTATGCAATATTGTCTGCTCTGGAACCCCAGTTGTGGCTTGCCCTCCCTGCAGAGGCCAAATGGTGCTAACATTGGCCTTATTTTGCTGCCAAGCTAAAATGTGGCTTTTCCTCAAACATTCAGCATCTTAAGGGTGTGGTTTAAGTAGATTATGGGATTCAGTTATAAGTACATAGTTTTCAGTTGTTGAACTGTTTTAAATAGTTAGCTTCTAACATATTTTCAACGAAATTCTTTTAAAATTGCTTCTTGTATTTCATCCTGAAGAGTTGTGTTGTGTACTGTCAAGCTGATTCTGTCTTATGGTGACTCTTAGTAAAGTATGTGAGGTATCTAAGGAGAGATTTTACCATTGCCACTCCCAGTGAGTTTCAATGGCCAGGCTGATATTTGGATCTGGGTCTCCTGAGTCATAATCTGACATTCTATCCAGCGCACCGCATTGGTTCCCAGTGCTACAGAGTAAGATATAAATGTGCTAAATATCTGTATAAAATATCTAAATAAAGTAAATAATGCTTTTTAGGATTGTGGTCAATAATTACATACTGAGGAACAACTTTTAAAATGTAAACCTAATTACTGACAGAAAATGAAAAGAGAGAAACAGGTCAGCAAACTGTTGTTGGTAAATGTTCACATTTTCACCACCTACTTCTCATCACATAAAATGTTTGCAAAATGCAGAGCTAATTTTGTTTTTATGCAGCTTTCGGGTATGGTGAATGCCAGGAACTTAGTTAAAATAAGATAGTACATTTGCTACAAGTAATAACCCCATTTTCTTCCTCTGCAACCTCGTACTTGCAGAGGAAGAAAACAAAGGGACAATTAGAATACTTAAGAGCACGTCTAATAGAAAATATCACTTCCTACCTTTCCTTGATATCTATGCTAGACTGATGTATCTCACTACTAAGCCCAAGGAACATGTTCATCACCTGAGATGCTCCAGCCTCCTTGAGCAGTGAACTTTGTGGGGACTTGAAACAAGGTTTTCTGTGTAACAGACAACATGCTGGTTGTTGAACTTACGTACTTTCCAAGTGGGTTATAATGGCTTTTTTCCTGACCTTTAGACAGTTGGTAAAACTGCCAGGAGAGAGAGAGAGAGAGATTATCTAAATATTTTTACCCCACCTTTCTTCTAAAAAAGGACCCAAAGCAGTTTACATAATTAACATTTATTATATTGTAAAAATTTAAATACAAATTAAAATACAAGTAATAATCTCCTGCCAACCTAGCATTTCAAAAACATGTAAAAATGCAAGTAGATAAATAGGTACCACCTCGGTGGAAAGGTAACGGCGTTCCGTGTCTAGTTGTGTTGGCCACGTGACCACGGAAACAGTCTTCGGACAAACGCTGGCTCTGTGGCTTGGAAACAGGGATGGGCACCGTGCCCTAGAGTTGGACACGACTAGACTAAATGTCAAGGGGAAACCTTTAACCTTTAATAATCTAATAAGACATTGAATATGGCTAACAGTATATAATATCTTGTTGGTGTATGCATAAGGTGTATGTAACTTGCCACAGCTGATTGTGGCTCACTTATGGGGTACCATGTCATGTACCTGGCTATGTGCCTGATTGTGCAACTGAAATACACCACAGCACCTTGCCAATTAGTTGCAATTAGCCATGGCAATTGTACAGAGATTAAGACAAAAGTTCCAGACGGCTGTAGCTACAGTGTTTCCCCCAAAACAAGACAGGGTCTTATATTAATTTTTGCTCCAAAAAACACAGTAGGGCTTATTTTCAGGGGATGTTTTATTTTCTTTCCATGTATAACAATCTACATTTATTCAAGTACTGTAATGTTATCTTCTGGTTGCTGCACAATGCTGCACAATGGTGGAGGGTGGGATTTCACTTAACTAGGGCTTGTTTTTGGGATAGGGCTTATATTACGAGCATCCTGAAAAATCATACTAGAGCTTATTTTCGGGCTAACGGTATTATCTCTTTTTAGCATATAAATTGATTGATAGGCATTGGACAGGTTATTGTTAAAGTATCAAAGACATTGACAGTATCAGTAAGTAAAAATATATCTCTGCAAGTTAATGTGAGGAATTTATGTCAGTTCATTGTTATTAAAATATTGGATAAATGAGAGTCATGTTTGGTAAAATGTGCTGCTTTTGAGAACTGAATCAGAAGCCTTTGTTAGAGCAGAATTTTTTTAAAAATAGGCCAATAACTAAAATTTCACTTCCCAGTTTGTTAAGAGAGGTATTTTGTGTGTTTTCCCACTTGGTAGCAATTGTCCATTTGACAACTGTCGAGCCTTTACTAATTAATGCAGTTATTTGATTTATCTGTTTTATTGCAATCTATCCATTCTGCCGGTATTGATGGAAATTGTTGCATTTTACTGATGTATTTATTATTATTATTTTCAGTATTTTTGAGCATTTCTTGAATGGAAGAGCAATTCAGAAATATATACATGCAATTCATATAGCATCTCCTTTCTCACCCCTCTCAGAATCCACTACTGCTTAAAACAGCTGGATCTTTTGTCTTAATGATTTTGATTTAGTTCATAGCATCAGACAGATCCTATTATTCTAGCACATGATCTAAAAGCTCACAATTTGCTCCACTCCTTTTGAACAATACTACTAACTATCAATGTTCTTTTAAACATGTTTTCTCCCTCAGAACATCCAATAATTGTCACTGCTCAAAACCTTACTTGTCCTGCCCTGCATCACCCATTACCTGTTTTTTCTCTGTTTTCATAATATGAGGTGAAGATAGGTTCCACACATTATCTGGAATTAATCCAGAATTTATGTTCTACTACTTTCTTGCGGTCTCTACCATGCATACTTGTTGAAGCTGCAAGAAAGAAGGTTGGAAAACCTCTTTCATCCTGCACTGAAATCAGCTAGAGCCTATCCTCGTAAAGACTCATAATTGCTGGCAGTTCCACATAAACTAACATCTCTGTATAAACAGTACATATTACTGATAATAGTTTGACTTAAAAATCCCAAAATGGCTGTAGAAGGTACTGAGTAATGAACGCAGATAAGACCATGACTTACTTTAATATGGGTCAGTATCTTTTTGTTTTTCTGGTTATAGAAGAGTTTTCTGTCCACATGGCACATAAATACTAATGAATGCTAAGTGATTGAATGATACAGTACCTACTTTATGATATATTAGAGGTCATAAATGGAATGTCCAGTTTAATCACAGGTAAATAGTTTTACAAGGGGTAAAACAGTTTTACCACAGAGGTCTTTCTTTGTGTCAAGTCTGGAAGAGGTATAAAAAGTTCACAGAAAATAACTTGAATTTTCTTTAAAGTCCAGTAATTAAATAAGGTATATACAGTAGTAGTCAACCTTAGCCATTGTCAGTATGCTGTGCCACTTGTCAGTGAAGACAGGCACTAATGTCATAAAGCTAGAAAGTTTTAATTAAAGATGCAAGCATATGTCAAACACATGAAATAATTTTAAAGTCTTGGCTTCTGTTTTTTATGCAGATAGAACAGTATATTTAAAAGAAGACATTGTTTAGTAAGTATCATTTTAAAGTAAAATATGTTTACTGTTTTGTGTTAGAGTGCAATGGAGAATCAATGAAAGACGGAACTAAAGCAAACGCAAATACTTCCATCAGTCAGTGGGACAGTATGGATAAACAAAAGGGCTGTGTTCTAGCCAAAAATACTTTTCCTGCTCTGAAGAGATTCAACATGAGCCTCAGCCTCTCTATTTCTACATACGTATGCTCATATTCATTTACAGTTTTTAAAAAGTGTCAATTCCAGGCTCTTCTAGACATACTATCTTTTGGTCCACATTCTACATCCAACTTCAGAACTTTCCCTGAAAATCTTCCTCTTTCCTCACTTTCTACCTCACCCTCTATCCTCTGTCCTCACCTTTTTAACCTTTCCCAAATCCTTGAGTGCATTTTCCTCCTTGATTTGAACCAGGTACAAGTTTCACCCAGTGGCATTTCTCATTCACTTCAGTACTAAGGCACAATGAGTACAAGGAATCACGCATTCTTAACAATAGTGGATGTTTACTGGACACTGACAAGTACAGTTGCCCCACTGAAGGAGATAAGCACTTTAGAAATAGACCCTGAACAGTCTGGATGTAACTCCTAGTAAATCCCGTGATGTTCTCACACCACATGATACACAAGGAAACAAGAAAAGAGGTCCCAAATGCTTTAGCTAGAAAACTGCCCAGACGCATTTAACCTATGGCACAGATTCCATTTGGTTTTCAAACATTTTCTTCTCCCTCTCTTATTCTATGTCATGCATTCAATTTACATTGTACCCTAGGTTTGACCAATTTTAATAGGAACTATTTCTGAACATATATGATCTTCCCAAAGGTATAGTCCTAAAATGTGCAGAGCAGAAATCTCTACTCTGGCAGCACAGCCAGCAGAGGAAACAACAAAGTGGGGGGGGGGGGACATGTAAAAAGAAAAGTCTGTGTGAGGATTCACGTTTTGGATTACTTGGCATACTTTCCAATTCAAGCTCAACATCTTAAGGTACAGATGCAGGTTCAAGTTGTAAAGCTTCAGCATTTATTGTAGGAACTTCAATAAAACTATTTACATCAAACTGAACATTGTCTATCTCCTCCCTTGCCAATGAGGCAAAGAAGGGGTTCAAACCATTTCAAACAAATGGGTTCTCATGACTAATGTTCCATCATCCTGGTGTGTTTAACTGGTCCCTGTCTCTCAATATCAGCCCTGATGATAATGGTAGCAGGGGCATGGCAGTTTCTCCCGGGTATTAATCTCATCCCGGTCGCTCACCTGGCTCAAAGAGGTCCAAGACACTCTCCTCTCCATCATTTCTTGCACCCTCCATTTGTCTCTGCCATTCTCTTGTTCTACCTGTGCCCTCTCTTCTCTCAGCCTACACCCCCCACTCCCATGCTTCCTTCTTGCCCCAGTATGAGAGATTCTGGGGAACACCAATCTCCTCCTTCATTCAACTTCTTCCCTGGGCACCATCAGTCTCTCCCATTTTTGTGTCGAAAGATTCTCTAACCAGATACATCCCCAGGGCAGGATCCTCTCCATCTTTTTATTCTCACTTTCTCACACCTCTACTACTCCCATCTTTGAGCCTTCACTCCCTCTTTTAGTCCCTTTCCCACCAACTTTCTCCCCCTCTCTCAGGGATTGGTCGATCTCCTTCTCCCTTGTTCCCGGCTTCCTTAACTGTTCCCCCAGATTTTACACTTCCCCTGGGTCCAGGGTAATTTCCTCCTTCATTACCCCTTTTGGAGAACCAATATGTGTTGTCTCTCTGGGCACGGCCATCTCTGTTCCTCTATTTCTTCCCCCTTTCCCTGTTGGACTGGACAGCGCTCTGGCAAGAGATGCCTCCATCTCGCCTCCTTCCTCACACATGAAAATTAAAAAAAAGAATATAAAATAAATCTAAATCTAAAAAACTTTAAGTGCCAGTTAGAGAGTACAATAAAAGATCTGTTAGCACTGTTATTCAAAATAACTGAAGAGATGGTTGTCGTGGGTTTTTCGGGCTGTTTGGCCATGTTCTGGAGGTTTTTCTTCCTAACGTTTCACCAGTCTCTGTGGCTGGCATCTTCAGAGGACAGGAGTCAGAACTCTCTCTGTGCTCTGTTGCCGTTTGTTAGATAGTTGAGTATTTATAAAGCCTTTGAGAATACATAACTGAAGAGAACTTGCATGTTCAGAAATAAGACAGCTCTGAACATCTATGCTAAAGACATAAAGCAGAAGAAAGCTCTTGCCTACATATTATGTTTGTGTACCTCCTGGAGATAACTGTCTAGTTCAAACATTGGGAAATTTTGTTTGTTTGTTTGTTTGTTTGAGCCCACAGCTCTCAGAATCCTGCAGAAGTACCAAGAGTTGTAGCCCCCCAAAAAGTGACTTTCCCACCATGAAAAAGGCAGAGCTTTGGTTTGATCCAGTAAGTTAGTACACATGTTCATATCTCACTCAGCCCCTCAGATATGAGGCAGACCTGTCCCCTCTTAAAGGCAACATGTTGGCTTAAGGCAAGTATAGGTTGGCCAGAATCACTCTCATTATTCTTGCACCCACACAAGCGGACACTCACCCTTTGCTGACCAGTATGTAGTACTTCTAAAAATATTTGTCTTTCTGACTATTAAAAACAATTACAAATACATGCTAAGGCAACACAAGGATTCATAGGATTACATGTAAGAACTCTGCCATGGATGTAAGGAACAAGAGGCATCTGCTTAAGAAAGAAGTTTATTTCATTTACATTTTCCCATACAACTCAATAGTTCTGCTGGTTTTCTACTTGTCCCTGTTGTACTTGTTATACAACCCGAGAGTCTTGCCCTGCTCTAGCTGAATATACCAGAAACTGTTTGTGATGGCCCATTTTGCACCACTGTAAATAATCATAATCATCATCATCATCATCATCATCATCATCATCATCATCATCATCATCATCATCATCATCTGCAGAAGATGTGCCAGTGCCTTCATTGACTTTCTGATTGTAAGGGGCTTAACAGCAACTAGAGCAAACTTGCACAGATACCATCATAGATTGGTAACCAAAGACTGCATAGATGAAGTTAAGGTGCCACTATAGCATCTTAAAAACAATTTCTTCCCATTCCTCTGACACTGACCGACCTGCCCATTGGCAATAGTAATACAAAGGGTTGAGGGACTGCCTTTAAAGAAGTTTCAAAGTTGCAGGAAACAGAAGACACATTTTGCATTATCCATTCCCCCCACACAAAATCCAAATGCTGAGATGAAGATGGTGGGGAGGGGCAAACACAACATGATCTTGGACATTCTGGGGAAATAACAGGTTTAGAAAAACCAACTTGTGGTTATATTCTCCTGTCTGAGACAATGGCCTCAGTAACAGTTGGCAACAGCACAATAGTTCACACAGAGTTTGCTAGATAGCTACCAGCTTCTATTGGCCCTTTGGCTAAGTTTATGTAACACAGCATTTCTATAAACAACAGAAAATGCTGCTACAAAATTCCAGACTGTGAGAGTATACTGAGATAAGCTACTGGTAATATGACTAGTGGCAGATGTTTATTTTATCCAGCTGTAAAAATTAAGCCATGGGAGACAACAAAGTAATTAAACTGATTTTCTTACTGAGCATTTATTTAGAAATAAACACATATTTTTTATCTATAATAACGAACTCCATACTAGCTCTTCACAATGGATTCTAGTTTAGCTGTGTTAACAGCAGCAATATGCATAGCGCAAGCATGGCCCACATTTGATTCTTGATACTTGAGGTTATGAGGATCTTTGTTTACTATACCACCAGCAATGAAAATATAATAGAACCAGATAATCATGACAAACTTATCAGCGTTAATCTAAGTAAAACGGTTTAAGTCATTTACTTCCTCTTGCCAGATTCACCAGAAATGTAGCTTACAAACTTGCTCCATCTCTCTTCAGAGGATGAGAATAAATCATTGTTTTCACTCATGGTGAAGTAAACAGGAAAAAAATGAGTCCAGGCAACATTAGCTTTTCTAATTCTACAAGCTTTATTCATTCACATTTCTTCTATGCATAATAATCCAAAAGTCATTGAAAACATATACAGTACTGTATTTTTCCATGTATAAGACCCACCAATGTATAAGATGACTCCCAATTTTGATCCTTGCCAGAGGCAGAGGTGAAGGAGCAGCCATGCTTGGTCGCCCCTCGCAGCTGCCCATTGACTGCTGCTGCCGCCACCACGCAATCACCTCCTCCAGTGCCACTCACAGACTCCCTTCGGGCAAGGGACAAGGTGGTGGTGTGAGCTGGAGGTGAGCCCCAGCAGTGGCACTGGACGAGATGGTTGGGTGGTGGTGGCAGCAGCAGGAAGCGGAGGCAAAGGAGCAGCCGTGCTTGGCCTTCTCTCGCGGCTGCCCATTGACTGCCGCCGCCCAATCACCTCCTCCAGCACCACTGCCAGGGCTTACCTTCAGCTCACACCACCGTCTTGTCCCCTCCCTGAAGGGAGCCCGTGAGTGGCACTGGAGGAGGTGACCTGGCGGCAGCAGCAGCAGTCAATGGGCAGCTGTGAGAGGTGGCTCAGTGCGTCTGCTCCTTCGCCTCCACCTCCTTCTGTGTATAAGACGACCCTCAAATTTTCCTCTAATGATTTTAGGAAAAAGTGTCATTTTATACACAGAAAAATACAGTAACTTTTTGAGGTCAGAAATATGTGACCCCTAAACATAATTATTTTACCTAGCAACAAAACTGTAGGTGCTGTGAAAAAAATTAAGAACTTGGGGTGTATGAAATATGAAATTCAGTTGCTGGGCTCTTCTATGCTGCTGAGCCTGGGAAGCTGACCTACCAGGAAAGATCAGGGTGAAAACAGAGAGTTCACATTTTCATCTCATCTCCTGCTATTGAACACTTCAAAAGAAGGACTCAGCTAGGGAACAGATGCCTCCATGATTAACTTTCTCAGAGGACATAAGTTGCCCCACAAGGACACCAACACTTTATCTGTAACCATGAACTGAAAGGACTCAGCCTGCTTCCTTCCCAAAGAGTTATGTAGATTTTGGCTATGGGAATGGCATCAAGTCAGGAAGCTGGCTTTTGTCCTTACAGAATATAAAGGAGTTAAGATGTGTAGGCAAAAGGTGTTCAGTAGGCTCGTTCCCTTGTATAAAAAAGGGATTAGGAAAACTAGTTAGTCAACAGAGTTAATCTGACTTGTGAGTAGAGCAGGGGTCTATTTGCCATTTTAGGATACTGTGCCGGGAGTCTGCACTCTGTGCATGACAGAAATACAGGTCCCTGAAAAAGCCAGACCTCAGCTCAACAGGGTTAATCATCTTTGTCAGCCCTTCGTGAAAGAACTCCACAAGACAGCTACTTGAGGATAAAATAGAATCAGCAAAATAAGAGCCCCTTTCACTGTTCTCACATCTATGTAACAGGTACAGTTACATGCTTTAAAATTTGTTTGGTTAGATTTCACAATCAGTCTTGTACCCTTTGTGCTCTAGTCATTGGCTGAATTCCAGTAGTAAATTGCAGTCAGAGTCAACCCAATTGAAACAATGGAATTTATGGAGGATCTAACTTACCAAATCCCCAATGTTTCAATGACACTGCTCTAGTTGTGGATTACCAGGGCTTGAAAAAACCACTCCCTCACTCGTCTGCGACCAGTGAAAAAGAGCCACAGCTCCCTCCCTCCTTGCCTCCTTACCCTCAGTCCATCTCTCTCTCTCTCTCTGATCCTGCAGTCCTCCTCTCCCAGTTCCAAAAGAAAAAATAGCCCTCTTCTCATGAGAAGAGAGTTTGAAAAGGCACATAGATATATAGCTCTGCGGGAGAATGTAGAATAGTCCCATGCTGGAGAATATGGAGATTCCCTGCTCCCAATTTCAACCAAACGACCTGGCTCCTTAAGAGGCCAGGCGCTTTTGCTTTCAGTTTTATTTTTGCTGGAGACATTCAAAAGAAAGCCATTCAAAATACAAGCTTCATGACCCCACAGGCAGGCAGGTAATAAAGCAACCCAAGTCTGAGGGTATATTTATTTTGGGTTGTACGCATTGTTATATAGAAAGTGCCTAGTTTAAATTTAAATTTAAGTTTAAACGTAAATTGCAAGGCTATAGTCTGGTCATGCTGACTGAGTAACATTTTGACTGACTGGTGAGACATTCTAAAAATTTTCAAGCCCTGCGGATTGCTATAGGACTCCAGCCATCATCTGGCTAGTTTCATTGTTTACAGCTCCATGTACAGTAATACCAAGTTGCCGAAAGAGTACAACATCTAAGAGGGTGCTCAGGAGTAATCATGTCTACAGCCCTTTGGATCTTTCTGTTTCAAAGAAATACTAGGGCCTTGACAGGACTGTCAACTCTCTTCATCAGAAAATCCACCAGAACATGCAGAGATTTATTAGATTCTACTAGTTTCTTGAGGCAGGTCATCCCTATTGATCCTCTACTTCTGCAGGTACAGTACTGTAGTTTCTAGTGTCAAGAGTTCAAAGTCACCAGGAAATGATCTGGCCATGACAATTCAGGGTTCCCTATCCCACTTTTAGAAACAGCTTTCATCCTATATATCAGGCACAAATGCAGATCCTTCCCTGTTCTTCACACTGATGGACAAATGTAATTCTGCTCAAAAAGCTAGAATGAGGTCATGTTGAAAAAAAATACAGTAAAAACACAGGAATAAACAAAATCCAAAATTCATGGGCATGAGATACTTTTAATTTGATCAACCATTAATGCAGAAAAAATTCAAGAATTTCTGTTTTCTTCATCAAGATATTCTTGCTATATGTTATTAAGGGTATGACTATGCAGTGAGAAAAATGTAACTTGACCCACTGCAAAGTCACACCAGGAATTCAGGTTCTTTGTGTAAATTCAAGTTAACTGGCCATACAGAGAGAAGAGTAGGAAACTAACAAAACAGCCTTGTTTGCAGCCTGTTAACATAGCTCTCCTGACTTGCAGGAAGCATTACTACAGAAAAGAAGCCTTAATAAGCTGTAAACAAGGGTTGAGCGGCAATTTCCTTCTCTTATTCTCAACTAATAGCAACTGTTCACCAGCATGGAGTGAACTTCAGATGGGGCACTAAATGGATAATTAGCTTGGCTTTTATTTTTACAGTTATAAAATATGTTTATGAATACAGTGGACCCTTGACTTACAGACTTTTTGAGTTACAGACTGCTCTGGCCGCAAAATTTAGGTTTGACTTGCAGACTGAGATTTGACTTACAGACCAGAAAAAAACCAAAATGGAACAAAAACGGCCTGTTACGGGATTAATCGGATTTCAATGCACTGTAGGTCAATGGAGACTTGGCTTACAGACTTTTTGACTGGAGAACCGCCTTCCAATACGGATTAAGTTCTCAAGTCAGGACCCCACTGTAATGCTGATTCTTTATGAGATCAATAGATTAACTCTTACACTTATAATACATGCAAAGAGACACACTTCCATTAACTTCTTTCAAGCTGAGAAACTTACAAGGGGAGCACCTATGGGAGGGAGGGAGGGAGGGAGGAAAGGTTGAAAAAATGGGCATAGCTACATAAGTGGTAGGCAACACACATAGTTTCAGGTTGACTTCCTGGCATTCTATCCAGATAACTCAGAGGCGGACAACTGTGGCCCTCTAGACGTTGTTGGATTGCAGTTTCCATCAGTCCAAGTCAACACTGCCAACAGTGAGGGATGAGGGGAGTTGCAGTCCAATATTTGGAGGATCAAAAAGTTACTAACCACAAAGTTAACAGAATAATATAATTGCAGAGTAGGAAGGGTCCCCAAAAGTCTTTTAATCCAGCCCTTGCCCGTGCAGGAAATCTATAACTAAAGCATCCCTGACATATAGGAACTCTACCTCTTGTCTGGCTACTAAAAGGCAACAAGGAATTTCAGATCTGTCGGTGAGGACATGTTTTATGATTTCGTTTCCCAATTTAACTGAAGAAACAAATGGTTCTTCCAATAAAGTGAAAGATAATTTACAAGGAATAACTTGTTTGCATAACAAAAAAATGCCTGCACAAACAGAGCTTGTTTCCTCCTCCACTTTGAAACTGGGACGGCCTCCATTCTCTGTCTGAAGCATACAGCTGTTTTCTATTTTGCAACCGAAAGTGGCACATCCTTGTAAGAAATGTATTACTTCTGTTAGAACAGCACTCTTTGAAGTATCTTGAGCTGAATTATTCAAGTTGCAGGATTCGAGCAAGGCCTCCAATTATCAAAGGCATACAACAATAAGAACTGTTGCAAAAAGGTTAAAGGTCACACTTCATATCCAGCACCACTTCTAACTTGCAATAGTTGTGTAAAATTAGAAGCACTAGAGAACAGAAGAGGAGGGTAGAGTACAACCTGGAGCTCATTAGAGCACTGCAAAGAGGGATTTATTCATTCAGAAGAGCTGAACGTACCCCATGCAATTGCCATTTCTTCTACAGAAAACAACTGGTGGATTTTGTTTATCTTTCTGTTTAACTCTCTGAAGAAAACTCAGCTGTACTGCTCCCCACACCCAAGTAAGGTTGCCATAGCTAACTCCTGCTCCCAATAAACTTCATTAGCTGACATCAAAGTTTTCAAGGCAGGGGCCATAATTCCATGGAAGAACACATGCTGTGTCTGCAGAAGGTCCCATATTCACATCTGTGCGCTTCCATTTAAAAGGATTAGGCAAGAAGGGATGTGAAAGAACTCTGCCCAAGTAGGCGGCTTACAACATAAGGATAACAAGTTCTAAAAAAAATTAGAACAATTAATTAAATGATTCTATAAGATGGGAAAAATAAAAATAAATCAAATAAAGAGGGGGGGGAAGGAAAGAGGACAGGATAGCCAGTGCCAGTAGTAATTATTTTATTTGGTATCATTTTCATGGGCTAGATCATGGGTCAGGAAGCGAAGGCCCTCTAGGTGAGGTTAGACTCTAACTCCCATCTTCCCCAACCACTGGCTATACTGGATGAGGCACATGGGAGACAGAGACCAAAATCATCTGGAGGATCACAGGTAGGGTAAATAGCTGGGCCCAAAAGAGACTTAGTGGAGTAAAAATGAGATAGCACAACTTAAAAGCAAATTGGGAAGAGTACCATGTATAACATCCCCCAGTAAACTCTGCTTCTTTGACAGCCAGTTGTTTATTAAAAGCCCAGTAGATGAGAAAGCCTTTTGGTTGCTGGTGGAAGGACAGCAGGGAAGGGGCTACTAGCCATCGAAGGGAGTTCCATAACCTGGGAGCAGCCATTGAGAAAACTCTCTATCTTTCATGTCTTCAGCAGGGGCACTGGTGAGAATGGTAGGACCAAGAGAAAGGCCTCCCCCTAAAGAGCTTAAAACCAGGAAGGCTCATATGGGAAGATGTGGCCCTTCAGAAAGGCTGGGCCCAAGTCATATACCGATTTATAGGTAAAAAGCAGCACTTCAAACTGTGGCCAGAAATCGATCAGCAGCCAGCAAGGCTATTTTAACAAGGAATTTCAGTTCTCCAGGTAACCAACCGCAAGTCAGTTGTCTAGCTGTAGCATCTTGTGACCGCTGAAATTTCAGAACATTTTCCAAAGGCAGTCCCATGTAGAGTGAAGCTCGGGAAGGCTTAAAAAAGGCAGGTACTGTACCAGTGACAGAACCTACATGCGGGTGATATTCTATTTCCTGCTGTTCCTAATTGCATTGCACTTCTCTGATTCCAATTGAAGGGACACAGGCCATCACCCAGTGGGAGACACTTGATCTCCTATAGTTTTGTCTGTCATTTCTTGTTGCAGGATTAAAGGGGCAAGAAAAAGGGCATACCGCAGCATTGCATAATTCCTTGCTGAAAGTTGCTGCTGCTTATTTACCGCCAAGCATGGAAAAAAGACAACTGCAGAACCTTCTGGCCTCCTGTATCAAAATAACCTTGGATGGGTCTGGACACTTTGGATAGACTGGGGTTGGCACCACTTGCCATTCCATCTCAAGATAGTAAAAGGTCTTCTTGTCCTTACCCTGCCATCCCATGGAACCTGCAAAAAGTATCCCGGGGACCAGCCTTGCTGAGGGAACGATCCCCTCTTCTTCGCCTTGAGGAAGAGGGTGGTGCAAACAGCTTGGATTAAAGGCGGCTGACGCTCAGAGGGCCTCCCCTCCCTTCCCACAAAGGAGGCACTGCATTAAACCAAGTTTCGTTGGGCCCTCGACCGCAGTGGCGCGCGCGAAAGGACCAGCACGTGTCAGCCGCGTGGGGCCCTTGGTACGGTGCGGGTAGCGAGGGAGGCAGCACGCGGCTAGCCGAGAGAAGTTCGGCAGACGAATCGCGTGTTCGGCGCCCAGCAATGACTGCGAGCGACCAGGAGAGCCGCAGGAGCAGTTCCACAGTAGTACAAGGGCCACCAAGGAGGGCTCCCGGTAGGCGGGCTATCCTTGGGACAGGGCACGGGCTGTAGCTCTTGCTCTCCACCCTCGGCCTGAGGCCTCTTGTCGTGCGCGTACACACACTCGCCGCGAACGAGGCAATATAGCGATGGAGGTCAGTCCGTCTCCTCCCGTCGGTGCACAAGCCTTCCCCAACCTGACGGAGCGCGGGCGGGGGCTTCGCTTGTTGGAGGGCGGGAGGAAACGGAGGTGGGGGGCTCGACTTCAAAGTCCCCCTCGAGGCCCCCCTCCTTGGAGGCCAAAGCCCGCGTGGCGGGCAGCCTCTTGGAACGGCGCCTTGCGAGTCTGGGCGGGAGAAGGTAGCGAAGGTGCTGGCTGCTCTCTCCGGGTGCCTCTTCCGACGGGACGGGAGAGGCTCTGGAGGAAGGGGAAGAAAGCGAAGAGGGCGGCCGAGAGAGCGACGTCTGTTGGCGGGGAAATGAAAGTAGAGCCTCCGCCGGCCTCCCTCCCTCCCTCCTTCCTTCCT